CCTCGAGAAGTCGTCGCAGCCACACCAGTTCCTTTGCTGCTTCTGCTGCTGCGATGTACTCTGCATATGTTGATGAGTCAGCTATGCTATGTTAGTCTGCTGCTTCGACATCCAGGAGATTGCTCCCCCAGACAACAAGAAGACATTTCCTGAGATCGACTTCCGGTTCATTGCATCATTCACCCAGTCTGCATCCGTGTACCCCACGAGTTCCCCTCCCCCTGCTGTGTATACTATCCCCCGGTTCATAGTGCCCGCAAGATACCTGAATATATGTTTGATCCCCTTGATATGTTCACGTCCGAATGTCGCCACGAAAGGAGAGAGTGCCCGAACAGCAGCACAGATATCTGGTCGAGTTCCCAGAGCGGCATACATTAGTGAGCCAATCGCTTCGAGGTAAGGGTATGAGGAAACCTTAGAGTGGTCTTCCATGGAGGTGGGTTTGTATTGAGCTCTCGTGGGTAGTGGTGTAAGGGCAATGTGGCAGTCGGTCATTTTGAAACGCGCTAAGATGTCCTTGATGTACTGGGACTGGTCGATTGACAGTGTCCCTGCTGCGATGTCCTGGTGGACTCGAATTCCAAGTATCCATGAGGCCTCACCGCAACTAGATACTTTGAAGTGCGAGCTTATTGAGTCTTGGATGGATGTCAGGAGGTTTTCGTCATTTCCGGCTAGGAGCTTGTCATCGACGTATACTGGGATAATGATGATTGATCGACCTCGTTTGAAGACGAAGACAGAATGGTCAGCATGTGTCCGTTGGAAACCCAGTTGGATGAGAAAATCATGTAGCGTGGCGTACCACTCCCTTCCTGCTTGCTTTAGACCATAAAGACCCTTCTTCAACTTGGCCAGCTTGTGTTCCTCCCCCTTTTCCTCATATCCCTTGGGTTGCCGCATGTAGATATCTTCAGATAGGGTGCCATTCAGGTATGCAGACTTGATGTCCATCTGGTGGACTCTCCACCCATGGCGAGCACAAATGGCAAGAAAGACTCGTAACGATGCGGATTTGACAACCAGGGCAAAAGTCTCAGAATAGTCAATACCTTCACGTTGGCTAAACCCTTGGGCAACCAACCACGCCTTGAAGCGAGTGACTTCCCCGTTGGCGCCCCGCTTCTTCTGCAGGACAAAACGGCACCCAACGACGTTTCGGATATCAGGCGTTGGTTCAACGAGCTTCCATGTCCCGGCTTCTTTAATCGCCGCCAGTTCCTCCAGAATGGCCTTGTGCCACAGATCACATTCAGGCCCAGCAAGTGCTTCGCGCAAAGATGGGGCATCTGGGAGATCTGTATTGTTAGCTAGTACTGTGCTGGTCAGATGGACCTCATCTAGGGCTATGTCCAGGACATCTTCAAGCTCGACAGTTGCTGCCACAGGCACGTCATTCCAGAGATCCTCGTAGACATTGGCAATCAGTTCCTTTCGTCAGCCATGTGGTCCGTATTCGGATGGATCAAAACGATGTGGTGGACGACGCACCCTGGCTGGTCGATTGTGGTGAGTAGGAGGGACAGGCGGAACATGTGATGCATCAGGTGCTGTGTCAACTGGACCATCGTGACTTGTAGGAGAGTCCTCGGCGGTTGCCGGTGTCGAACGACTCTCAGGACTCACCTCCGCATCGCTGTCCGAGTCACTCTGTGCCGATTCGAAGAACACACATGCTGCTGCCTTTGCTTCTTCCCGGAAAATTGGCGCACGTACAACCTCAACTTTGTGAGTGATCGGGTCATATGTCCTGTACCCACTACAGCCTTCGGGGTAGCCCAAAAACTTCACCAATTTTCCGCGCTCCCCCAGCTTTAGCGCTCCTAGATCTTTTGGTCTATGGATGAAAACATCGGCATACCAAACCCTCATGTGAGAGACATTGGGTTTCTTTCCATAGAGTCGTTCAAAAGGGGTGATTCTATCAGAGCGACTATCCACCATGCGGTTGATTGCATAGGTAGCAGTCGCGAGGGCATCTGCCCAGAGAAAATCGGGTGCATGTGCATCCTTCATCAGGGTACGCCCTTTGTCCAGAATCCTCCTGTTTGTCCGTTCCGCGACACCATTCTGTTCAGGGGTATGAGGGACCGTCAACTCCACACCGATTCCTTTCTCTGCGCAATACTTCTCCAGAGCTCCATTCACATATTCTCCCCCTCGGTCGGTCCTCAGTATTTTGACATGTGTCCCAAACTGGTTCGCAAAGAAGGTGTCCATCTTGGCAAACCAAGGGGTAAAGTCTGACTTTAGCGCACAGGGATAAAACCAGGTAAAGTTCGTCCTGTCATCAACCAGCGTGCAAAAATACTGTTTCTTCCCAAGTGATAGGACTTCCATCGGGCCACAAATATCCGAGTGTACTCGGCCAAAGCGTGTGGTCGCAATGTCATGGCCCTTTGCGAAAGAACCCCTCACCATTTCCCCCCTGATGCAGGCTTCGCAATCAAAGTCTTCAGACTCATTCCGGGTTCCATCAACACCGAGCACAGCCCCTTCCTTGATCATGGTGCGAAGTGATTCCTTCCCTGGGTGGGCCAGTCGCTTGTGCAAGAGGTCAAAAGAAGGTGCAGTGGTCATTGCGGCTGGTCCATTATCTAGCTGAGAGGCCTTGGGAGATGACAACTGTGGTTGGTTTAGGTAGAACAATGGCCCCAACTCTGTTAGCGACTCGGCGATTAAGGTTCCAGACTTCGAGATTTTGCAGGTGTTGGTTCCCTCATCAAAGGTTACTCGTATTCCACGGCAGATCAAGACCCGGCAGGAGAGAAGACCGTAAGCCAGTTCAGGCACATACTGTACTTCCAAGACTTTGCGATGGACAATCTTTCCGTTTGCGGTGCAGGGGATCAAGACTGTTCCCTGTCCAAGTGAGGGGATTGTACTGGCATTGCCAAGCCGGATGTGTCGCAGGGTAGTGAAAGGTGTGTAATCAAGAAATTCCGTCCTGTTTGGGCAGAAATGGTTGCTGCAGCCAGAATCCACAATCCACGCTTTTACGGTATCCGTGGGTTTGTCCGCTACCAGGGCAGTGTCAGTGATGTATTCAGCACAAATGGAGCTAACACTGTTCTTAGGTCTGGCAGTGGGAGGTTCGTTCCCCAATGCGGTGGCACACATGGCCATCTCAATGCCTGCTGGCATGGTACTGACAGTACTGACAGTAGTAACGTTGGCACTGCCATTTTGTTCTGCGGCTTTCTTTTCCCGGTACGCATCCTTTTCTTCTTGCATTGCGGTACATTTAGAACGAATGTGGCCTGTCTGTCCACACTTCCAGCAAGTCTGCCGGGAGAGCCAGATGGGGTCATTTGGGTCCTTCCTCTTCCCTTTAGGTCGTTCCCCCTCAGCAGCGAGTGCCTTTGGGGTTTGGAGTGAGTCGGATTTGGTCCCCAGGTTCTCTCCCGCTGCGCGTGCGCGACGTTCATCGGCTTGTACCCTTCTCTTGAGATCATCCAAGTTCCACTTCACACCCTTTGGAAGAGGAGTATCGAGGAGCATTGTTTGTAGTGTACGCATGCAGGGTGGGAGTGTATGGATGAGGCGCATGGCGATCGAACGATTTCCAATGCGGTCCTCGTTGTCAGTCACTTCCTTGTTGACCAGGTAGGCAAAATTGATAAGGGCTGTCAGGTATTCTGAAACTGAGTTGTAGTCGCTGAGCTTAGCGTTGTCATAGCTCTGTCTGGCATAGAATTCCGCTGTGGATCCAGAGTCCTCATATTCATCCTTGAGGGCCTTGAACAGGATGGCAGCGGAGCTTTTCCTGTGTGGAAAGGCATTGCGTTGGATTGATTCATCAAGTGAGAGCCAGATCCTTCGACAAGCATTCCGATCCCCAATTACCCAATCTTGGTGTTCAGTTACTTTGGACGCATCAGGAGCTGTGGTGTTGCTGCCTTCAATGAAGTCCCAGGTGTGGTCCATGGCTATTTCGAGGTTCCCAGACCACAGGATCCAGTCATCTCGTCCTTTTAGTTTGGGGATGGTAAGAACGGCCTTGTCAATGGCAGAATCTTTGAGCAGGGCGGTAGTCATGGTTCTTCGGTGTTACAACCAGAATAGAAGTGCGGCGAGTCAGAACTGGGCAGTCGTTTCAGACAAAAAATTCAGCAGTGCCGGGCGGTGGGTGTGGCAAGTCAGAACTGGGCAGTCGTGTCAGACAACAGTTCAGCGGTGCCGGGCGGTAGGCTTTGCGCAGTGCTGGGGTAGAGTTGTACTGAGCTGATAACCTGTAAATCAGCGGGAGGAAGACTAGAGCGCGGTGTCTAGAGCGCGATGTCAAACGGGGTTTTATGTTAGGCAAGATGTAAACTATGTACAATCTATAAGGTTGAGGACTTACCTGGGGTGCGGTGTCGGACGGGGTTGAGCGTCGCGCTCGGGTAATCCTCGCTCTTTTGTGTCTATCTAACTATACAACAAAGCGAATAACAAAGGTGAAACTAGCGCCTCCGGCGCTTTGTGCGACTAAGGGTTTGCCACATGGCAACGCTTTGCCTGCAGCTCCGCCTCCCCTTTGTCCTCATGTGGCGTCGGGCTGCCACATCAACAACCAGGTCTTTGTCGCACACTGCAATTCTTTGTTGGCCATGGGTTGGTGTCTGAGGTCCTCCTTGAAACACGGATTAAAGTTCTATTAAATGAAGTAGAAAAACTGTAAGTTCCGACTCATCCTTTGCCAGATGTGCATCCAACTTGGCCACTATAGGTTCCCCAAGAACTCTTCACCAATGCCATGTGATACATGGAACCACTCCGAGTCGGAAATTGTGTTGCCACAAGTGAAAGAAGGCGCACGCTTGAAACCTATCATACTGGATTCAGATTCAGATTCAGCCTCGGATAGCCCGCATTCATTCACACATTTGGGCCCTCACCACTATTGCTCTGGATTTCAGGTGACAGTGCCTGAAGGACAGACTCCGTTCACAGAGTGGCCATGGCTAGAGTATGAACATTTGGCTATGTCAATGACTGTGCTCATTAACAATGGGATGCTCACGATTTACTCCGCAACCTGCACAAGGGATGGGAATCCTTGCCACAAATGTCGAAAATTGAAGCAGCAGCTGCCCATTGCATGCATACAGGACCGCATTTCCCAGGGTGTCCCTGAGAGTACTCCATACAAGTACTTGGGTATGAGGAGACTCATAGAGTTGCTTAGACGAAAAGATCGTCAAATTAATGAACTCAAATTGGGCAGTCTCAATCGCAACCACAAACTGGAAGTGCTCACCACATCAAACTTGGATTACAAGAGATTCGCTATGGCTGTAAGCCAATGCAATGTCCCTCATATCAACATTCTTGTGCAGTCTGCACTTCGAAACAAGCACGGAATTAGAGGGATAATTCAGCTTCTCACAAGAGCGACATTAGGAACTTACCGTCCAGCTTACACAGAAGAAGAACACCTAATAAGCATTGTGCTGTATCGACTAGGGGGAGCAAGAGTTGCCGAGTTTGCACACGCTGCCCTAGGGACTCCAGGCCTAACAACAGTCCGAAAACATTGCATAACTTCAATACTTGCATCCGCAGTTTTCCCAAAACTGGACAAGCTTACACGGAACATTGAATCAGCCTATGAACACTGCACTCTGACAGGGAAAGGGAGAGTTGGACTTGTCTGTATGTTTGATGAGATAAAAGTCAAAGAAGGGCTGGACTGGTGTCCCTGGACCAATTCTGTCATTGGCCTTTGCCGCGAACATTCAAGCTCCTGCCCATACACCTTCCACAACTTGGATGATGCTCAAGTTATATGTGAAGAGCTGTCGGAGAAGCGCATCCACCTAGGGACAGAGGTAAGTTGAAGGTTTTGGTGGCATAGGCGGGAAACTGATGACAGCGGGATTAGGCAACAGTTGGAGCAATTGGTGCCCTCACCAAAAGCCACCAAGAATATATTGCACGGCCCTTTCTCATCAGTGCAACATGCAAAAGCGAGACAGCTGAACAACATGCAGATCTCCTTCGGTTGGCATGGGGAGCATGCAAAGAGGAGACGTCTCTAATAGGTGGCCGGGTGTATTGTCTTGCATCCGATGGGGAATCGCGATGTGGGAAAGCACTTGTAGCTCTCACAGAAAAGTCCCCCTTGTCAGCATTCTCACCCATATACCCACTCCTTCACGACCTCCACCTTCTAAACATGATGGTTGGAGATGATGATATCACATCCGATAAGGATTACAAACATGTCATGAAACGTTTGCGGCATGCTCACCTCCATCCCAAAGGTATCAGAGTCGGTTCCACCCAAATTACACCCTCACTCCTCCGAAGACAACTTGAATCAGCAAGCATTCCCATAAACCGCATCAATAACCTTCTCAATGTGGCAGACAAGCAAGATGTCACAACAATGATTAATTTGATGCAATTAATTTGGTCACTCTCACCTCCTTCATCCACGGATAACCCCATTCACCGCCAGGACCGCACTGCTTTGAACCGGCATTCAAAGCTGCTCCGATGGCTCATACTTCCATATATCAATGTCGAGCTTAGCCTACATGATCAGTTAAAATGCCTCAGTGCTGCGGCTCATGTAGCATATGTATTCTTCACGCATGAAAACATGCGTTCAGCATACATCCCAGCGGCTCTCTATCGGGACATACAGATAATGGTCAAAAATGCTTACTTTTGTGTTGCAAAAGCGAAGCTTGAAGATCCGGATGGGAAATTCTTCATTGTCCTTCTGGGCACCGACAGGTTAGAATGGATATTTGGATTCATTCGGGCAGAGAATGGCTATAATGTGAATGTTAGCACTTACAGCCTTTCTAACCGTGTCTCTGGTGCAGTGGAATGTCATGCGATATTATCCCAACACCTGGAATGGGACCGAGGACCACGTCGACTAAGGCTTCAGGGGATCAGTGACACAGCGGGTGTTGAACAAAAAGTGGATCACATCAATCCAGCCTCATGGAAAGGCAATGTACATCTTGCCAACGTGCACCTAGCCTCAGCATGGAAAGCGGGCTGTCTTCTTGTGGAAAATGATGACGATCTTGCTGAGTTTAGTCCGGCAATGAAGTTCAGAAATCTGGAATCTCAAATGGGGGCCGACTTGTTGAACCCTTTCGGATCAGTAGCACATGGGACCATGATGACGACGGAGAAGAGCTCACCCAAATGTCGCAAACACAACCTCCAAGTCAAAAAAGCCTTATCCCATCTGGAACATCGATGTTCGGGTTATTGGATTTAGCAGATGAAGAATGTGCACGCCAGATTGGGCTCAGTTGTACCATCGAATTGCCTGATGGGAAGCGAGTACACAAGGCAAGGGTCCTGCGCAAGTTCACAAAGTATTCAAGCGAGTCAGGTTCCACGGACCGATTGAGGAGGGTGGCAAACATCTCAAAATTTGCCCAACCTACACCGATCCTAAGCCATCATGTTGGAGATGGTACACTCACAGAAGCACATTGCATCCTTGTTCAGGATGCCGTTGCAACCATCCTACAATGTGAGGGAGTCCCCTTCCTGGCAATTGCTCAGGTCAATTCAATCAAAGTGGACGGAAATGTTCAGACATATGTGGACAAAGATATTCTCCCCGAAAGTACAGTGTCTATTGGCATCCAAATCCTCAGTTTGAAGCCTGCAAATATCGTATTTTCAGATGGGAAGGAGGGTGATTGGAAGTGGGCAAGTGGAAATGACGCGAGCCTCAATGTTCCTGGAAGATATCTGCAACAGATTAGTCCAGGACTTGTTGAGGAACATGGAGATGCCTTACCACGTTCCATTGCATATGGATTCCAAAGCAGTGAGCTGCGCGATCTTGCTGCAAAAATGTTTCAAAGTCTCACAGCAGAAGAAATCCGTGGACTTGTTGAAACCCATCTGACAGAGGATTTTCCTTATAAGATTGAAGGTGCGCTGTTACAAAATGGTTGAGAAGGATTTCTCTGACCTGGTTTACAGGGACATCAGCAAAAAATTGTTATGCTCCTGAGTGCTCCGGAGTATGGGGAGCACTGGGAGAATCAGGAGGAGATTGGCCGGTCCAGGAACAGCTTGTTTCCTCCAGAGTTGGTCAGGTACTCCAGGGCACTCCCAGGAGGGCATGGAGCATTGCTTTGTGCACAAACATATCCAGTTTAATGCTTCAAAATGTATAGGGGTGAGAAGCTTCTGGGAGCTCCTGGAGCATTTGAAAATGAGAAGGAAAAAAAAGAGGGAAGACTCCCCATGAATACCTCCTACCACAAGACTAACACAACAAGACACTACTTAACATTTAGATCAAATACTATACTATACATCAAGGACACTGAGACTCACCAATACACAGTCAAAATTTATGGCCTGATATATGATTAATCTGGCAACTTAATCACTTTCGGACTTGCAGAATATGGAGGAGGGGGAAATGGGGGAGAATGAGGGGGGAAATGAGGGGGAAATGAGGGGGAAATGAGGGGGAAATGAGGGGGGAAATGAGGGGGAAATGAGGGGGAAATGAGGGGGAGAATGAGGGGGAAATGAGGGGGAGAATGAGGGGGGAATATAGAGGGAAATGAGGAAAATTTGAAAAATAGGGACTTCTAAAAAGTTGAAAAAATAATTAGGGAAAAATCAAAAAAAATTCAGGAACTGTAGTGCCTTTGAAGTGCTTTCAGGATATATAACTATTTGCGAAATTGAGGAAGAAATGATGGAGAAAAATGGAAAATACTTTCGGAGACCCGAGAAATAATGAGAACTGAATTGATGGGAAAGTCTGAAAATTGAATGGGAAAGTGAGGGGAAGCCTTGCAGCATCGTTATTTTCTGCTGTTCTAATTTTTCCTGATTCTTCTTGGTCTCACTCCCAGCTGCTCCTGGATACTCCTGGAAGCTCCTGGGAGGGTCCAGGAGCAGCTAATGGAAAATACTTTCAGGGACCCAAGAAATAATGAGAACTGAATTGATGGGAAAGTCTGAAAATTGAATAGGAAAGTGAGGGGAAGCCTTGTAGCATTGTTATTTTCTGCTGTTGTGATTTTTCCTGATTCTTCTTGGTCTCATTCCCAGCTGCTCCTCAATACTCCTGGAAGCTCCTGAAAGCTCCTGGGAGGGTCCAGGAGCAGCTGGGAGTGAGACCAAGAAGAATCAGGGAAAATCACAACAGCAGAAAATAACAATGCTACAAGGGCTTCCCCTCACTTTCCTATTCAATTTTCAGACTTTCCCATCAATTCAGTTCTCATTACTTCTCGGGTCTCCGAAAGTATTTTCCATTTTTCTCCATCATTTCTTCCTCAATTTCGCAAATAATTATATGTCCTGAAAGCACTTTAAAGGCACTATAGTTCCTGAATTTTTTTTGATTTTTTTCGCTAAATTTATTTTTTTCAACTTTTTAGAGACCAAAATTTTCCTCCCACTGCTCCTGGCACATTGCATACTCCTCACCACTCCCAGCCGCTCCTGAACCCCCTCCCAGGAGAACACTATTGGCTCCAGGAGTGCCCAATCTGCTGTTTTGTCTCCCACATGCTCCAGCCACTCCTGATGCTCCGGAGCATAACGGACTTTTGCTGATGGAGAGTGTGTTTTGCATGCGAAGTTGAAGGAATGGAACATGAAACCTCGGATACTAACACCAATTCATGCCCACGTTGTCATGCGCTGACCGAGAATACTCCAAAACTCCTTGCACACATTGCTGCTCATGTCCTTTATGACTCTTCCATCGACCGTTCTAGTGAGCCTTGTGGTCTCTGTCAGTAAATGTAATAACAACCCCAGCTGGATGGCGCAAGGGCACGTGAAGAAGATAGATTTTATTTTTGGTCCCAGAGTTTGAATCCGATATTTGTTTGATAATATCAGGGAGTAAGCGAGAACGGCCCTGAATCACGTGCTGATCATACTCCCTTAGTTTGAATTGATATTTTAAGTGTTATGGGAAAATGATTTCCAACATTGCTATAGCCTGTGCTGGTTGCCCAGTGGTTCGGCTGTAGCTGGTCTGTTATATCGGATGGGGGTGCTTTGGTTCAAATCCCGCTTGGGGTTATTTTTCGTCGTTGTTGTTTTGTTTTGTTTTGTTGGTTTGTCTGTTTGTTTGTTTATTTGTTTTGGGCCTCCCCATTCAAGTCGATTCATTGATATTAAGGTCCTTCTATGACTTTGTATAAGTATTGCATCATCATGGTTCAACTTCAACTTGTGAACCGCAGGCAGGCAAAAGAAAGTATAATTCCACTGCAGAGAATCAAACTCCAGCACATTCAATACTCCAAACACCGAACAACAATTTAGCCACTAGGCAACCAGTGACACCGATACCACAGTGCAAATTTATTTCTCTATAAAGTGTTAATATCAATTCAAACTCGGGGAGTAACGGCCGCACGTGATTCAGGGAGTTAAGGGTCTTCACTCTTCCCCGATATTTTCGCGGTAAAAAATTCTCTAGTTGGTTTCGAAATCAAAAATTCTTTTTTTGATATCTCACGTGCCCTTGCGCCATCCAGCCTGGGGTTGTTATTACATTTACTGGTCTCTGTCTCAAGCCCAGCCGGTTTGTTCTCCGGATGCAAAAGGGAACAATCGGTGTCGACTTCGCCAAGTCAACTTGTGCTAGGCTTGCCAAATTCTCATATGGGCCTGCGAGCACCCCATCCCAAGCCAACCCATGTGGTAATGTCCCAGTTAAATGTTCTCGCTGTCCAAAAGGATCAAGTGCAGTTTGGAGATACAATCAGGATGCTCACTATCGCGCTAAGCATTCCCCTGCGCTCCCTCCTATGGAGCTTGCGATCACTAATTTTGAAATAGAAGGACTCAAGGTACTCTGGGACAATCGCCATACAGCAAACCGCATGGAAGTGAGGCGTCGGAAGCAGCGTAAGCCGCATTTTGTGATATCCGAAGCTCACAGCACCCGACTTGCTCTCCGGACTACCGATCTAGAAGGGTCAAGTGCAGCGAGCTCTCAGATGAATTCCAATGTTGAAGATAGTCTACAACAAGCCCATGATACCAATCCCTTGCCCCCTGATCCCTTAGTCCCCCATCCAAGCCCGGGCCTGCTGTTATCTGCCAACGAGTCTATCCAAACCAGCCTACCTGCTGTGCATCAAAGTGGGCGTCCTATGCGCTTGGTACAGCAGCTGGTGACTGCTCTCCACAGGTGCTGTGATGTGGAAGTTACAGCGGATGAAATCACTAATGGGTCTAATGTCGTACGCTGTCCGAAGCCAGGATGTGAGACAGTTTGGGTCAGTCAACTTGAATACTTCGACTTTGACAACAAATACTCATTATTTTCGTTAGTTTCATCGAGCTTGTCAAGGGCTTGGATCATATATTCCCCCAGGGTGGAATTGTGGATCCCACGATTTTGGTAGAGCCCCCAAACGTCCACGCAAATATTGATTCACCCTTTTTGATATTACCCGACTAACAATTTACATTGTACATACACTCCATAACCTAATCTAAAATTTCCGCCAAAAATAAGTTCGTCACACCTTGATGACACCCTCCCTCCCATACCATGTGTTCGGCATTCGCCGATCCGACACCCCTTGGCAGGCACCAGAAAACTGGAATCGCGGGATTATCCAGGGTTGACCCGTGCCACTCCCGGTCACGGAGGTCCAGTCTTCACATAGTCATAAATTCCTTGCAATATCACTAGTATTAAGGGGGGAACTGGCTGTTCAAATCGTAGGACATAATCCTGTTTGTCGGGCCACCTGAGTTTTGACCGAATGAAGATGCAAAATGGGGGTATCCGAGATGCCTGAGAACTATAAAGTTAAGGAAGCTCGTAGCAACTGGCTGTCGCCCCCACGCCTTATCAGCTCGAGAGTAAGCAAAGTCCAACAACGGGCATCTCATGTCTCATGCCGGAGTATGAAAAATGAGAGACAATTGCTTTCGTACCATCCAAGACCAGACAGACAGTTTTCCGGATCTCCCAGGTCGAGAGGGAGGTAAAGAGTCTTCCGTGACAAAGCAGGGATATTATGGTGTAGATATCGACGTACGCTGTGACCTGACTCACGGAGTTGAGTCTGTGGCGTCGTGTTACCTTTCTTGGTAAACTCGCTGCTATGGCTGTTGGCAGCTGCGCCATTCAAAGCAAGTGCTTCGCTTATAAAGCGCGAAAATTCCCTTTACGTCTTTCCCCAATTCGCGTACTATGGAACTGAGCAACATATCGCTAAAACATGGACCGCCTGAACGACTCCCGTAAGTTTGATCGAGATATCGCCTAGCTAGACCGAATACTCCCTCCATGAGAACCGGCGACAGCAGTCGGATACCGTGTAGTATGGTATCCGCATCTACAGGCCGAGTCCTTAAATACATAGTCAATGAGTGCTCACGCCGCTTGCGTCGTCCGCCAAAGCAGCAAGGGCTACATGCTAGACAAAGGAGAGAAACGTGAAACTGAACTGGAACAAAGGAACAAGGGCACATTGCCCCAGCGCCACTTGTAACCTTAAGTTACTATGGCGTCGCGACGCCTTCCCCCCAAAAATGCGATTGTACGGTCCAGGTTTTCCAGCCGAGTGGATTTTCCCCTGACCGCCTGTGGCGTTGGGCTGTTACTCCCAACACTGCTTGCCCATCGTCATCGGTTTTGAGGGGTTCTTCCAGATAATGACGAGCCTTCACATAAATTTCCCCGATCAGAGGTATGAATTCATCGCATTCTTCTACTACTGCCCCCAAACATTGACGAAGCATTAGCTTGGATTGGAAGGGTCTATGATATCACATACGGTTATACCAACTTTAAAAGACGAATGAGATTTCCTAAGTGTTGAAATCTCTTGTTTCTTGGTACGCTGTGGACCGTCCATTGAGTCCGTCGGACCATATTTCTTGCGCACGGACATTCCCTTGAAAGATTGCCCGATGCTTCCGTTTTTGGAGTCTATGTTGATGGACAACTCACACTGTCATGGATGGCTTAAAAGCCACGATGACGAAATTTCTCTCACTCTCTCTCCCCTCAGTTCACGTATCTAGAACTGAGGTGAGATAATCTTAGTCTTGTTGCACACTGTAGTAATAACTAACAATGTGCAAATGTGTTACCAGCGCTTACACGACGCTAGTTCATAAATTTCAATAGTAAGGAGCCCCGCAGCTTCCTCACAATCAACTGAGACCTTACATTATGGAAAGTGTGGAATGAACATTGAAAGAGTGTTGGCATGCCCTCATGAATCGTGCGGTGCCTTCTCCCGGATCCCTGTATAACACAGTTAACAGGAAGGTACATAACTCTCGTGACCAGACCCTTACCGTGGTATCACTGGTGGTGCGGACCAATAATGCGCTGGTAAGCCGATGCATGCTACCACATAGAGCTGATGTCTTTGACCCATGAGCACCTCGCAGATTCAATTGTGGAGTAGCAATTAAAATTGAAAAGTGCCAGGTAATTAAGGAGACGACGCTATGGGCAGCAAGAGAGCAAGAACGTTGCACAAAGGTGGTCGACCTGCAGAACCTTGCAAGGGACCTTAATTCCGATGGCGCCATTATGTCATATGTACCTCATCTGCATAGCGGTGAGATGATTACACGCTTAGCAAGTCAAGATCTTGGGCATGAACATTCCACACTGTCGCAGTAATATACCCCAAGTCCATGGGATGGTGGAGGGAAGAGATCGATGTGGAAAAAGAGTAACAGTCACGGAATGCATTACTCCCTTCTATCTGGCTCCCCTACCCCATTTGGACGGGCAAGGAGACACTTTACCTGACTTCCTGCAAGTAATTCCATTGATTTAAATATATCTTGAAGAGCCGTAACAATCTTCAGCGTCTTTGAGTCGTTCGCTTTGTTGGTACCAAGTGACAACAGAAAGCCTTCGAATCCCATAACTTCGGGTTCGCTAGCTTCTGAAGTAGACCGCACAAAGGCATATTTCCAGGCATCATCTCTTCCCCCCAGTTTCTGGAATGGGTCGTCCATCACAAGTGTCCAACCCGTGCATGGAAGCGTGTGATCGACAATCACAGCAGGCATCAGAACTGGGATCGCAGAATCATCCACGATGGCTAGGATTGACCGCATGATGCACCTCCTCACTAGACTACGAGGGTCATAATCTTCCGGATCATCGAATGCCCTCAAAAAGTGATATATGACACGGAACATCACTGGTCCTGGGGGAAGAATGGCTGTCCAAAACGTAAGACATAATCCTGTTCTCCGGGCCATAAGGGCTTTAACCGAGTAAGAATGCGGAATGGGGGTGGATGAGATGCCTGAGATCCGAAGAGTCTAAGAGGCTTGTAAGAACCAACTGTGCCCCGCCGTGTCAGCTCAATAGTAAGCAAAGTCCACAATGACAAACTTACACTCGAACTGCTTCTCGTACCGAAATATGACAAACGAGGGAGAATCGCTTTCGTACCATTCCGAGACTGATACGGCATGGAAATGCTGATTCCCTATGGCATTCACGCAGAGGAGCTGGGGGAAGCATTGTCTCAGCGCTGCAAGATCAGAAAGTTTTACCAATCCTCCCTCGGGATTCATCCAGGTCGAGAGGTTGAGATAAAGAGTGTTCTGTGCCAAGAAAGGGATACCATGGACTATTTGGATGACTTCTGTGAGTGTAATCGAGATGCCGCCTAGATCGAGCACTCCCTCCTTGAGAACCGACAGCAGGCGTTGCGTGAGTGGCTCAGGATATTGGTTGTGGGCACCTGAAATTTTGGCACAAGCCCTGACCACCTGCTCTGGGACCTGTGTCCATTCTGTACATGGGATTTTCATGAGGGCATAAAGAGATAGGGTCGGAGGGACAGCTCGCTCTCGCTGCCCACTTAATCCACCATCGTGTCCGGCAGGAATGTTACGACCAAACTCGTGGGGCCAACAAAGCTTCAGAGTTTCGTACGGAATTGTTTCAAACTCCTTAATCGACCCGATAGCGGCAGCCACTGCTTGCTCCCATCCCCGGTCTCCAGCGGTCCTGGGGACCTGCCCGGATGGATAATAAGCCCTCCCATAAGTTTTCCCAGTCAGAGGTACGAATGCATCGCATTTATCGATTATCGCCGCCTCAAGACCACTGACACTAACGAAGCAGTAGCGTGGATTGGAAGGGTCTGTGATGTCGAATACGGTGATGCCATCATTATTGTCTGGAAAAGGGCGATAAGATTTCGTAGAGAGCCTAGCAGCGGCGCAAAGAGGCTTTCCCACCCTTGTCTGAGATCATATCCGTATTCTGACATCCCAGAGAAGGTGCCGATGCAGTGACGCGGTTCGATATGCAGCCCCAGAGCAGTGACGCTATAAAAGGGCACGGATTCAGGTCTTCAGGGACTGAATCGAGGTCCACATGATATAATTCCGAAAGTATGGAATGAATATTGAAAGGATGTTGGCATGCCTTCATGAATCGTACGGCGCCTTCAAGTGCAGCTTTCCCTGGTAATATGATTGATGGGGACAAAAAAAGAGCCCGAAAACTCTCGCGATTAGACCCTACCGTAGTACCACTGATGATGCAATCCAACAATGCGCCGGTATGCCCCACCGATCCGCGCTACCACATAGAGCTGATGTCTTTGACCCATGAGCACCTTGTTGATTCGGCTTTCGAGTAGCAATAAAATTGAAACGGGCCAAGCAATCCAAAGGTATGGATGTGCAGCGCTAAAAAGAGAGATGAAAGGCAAGATAGTGACTCTGATGGCCAACAGCAAGGGGTCAGGTGATTTTACCAGGTTAGGCTAGTCAGTCACTGCGTTTAGAGGAAGATTTTCGCTGTACTAATCCTGTGTTGTTCGCTGCAAAATTCCGTTGGACTTACAAGGCTGCAATATTCACGACTGGAATTTCTGTTGGAGGAAGGGCCCTCAGCGCATGTATTTACACATGTTTATATTACTCTATATAATTCAAGAGTTAACTGCTATATGTTGTCCAACCGCCGTTGACCTGGTACTTTCTACAGGTTATGAGCCCAGGCAGCTCGCCTGGACACCTGAGGTATTAAGGAAATCCGCCTAACTCTCGTGGTACATAGCCCTGGTTTTGTGGCTGTTGGTGAAAGTCCTCGAGTTTGAGGCAAGAATTTGCGATAAGTCCCGCTGGGCACGCGCTTATTGAGAAAGTCCTCAGGATTGAGGCAGGGATTTTGTGATACTGTACTAACACGACCAACAACCGGTCACGCGTCACACGAAGGTCTTGGATTGAATTAAAAATCAACACAACTGAATTGATTGGGTGCCTCCGGCAATTACTGGAGGCCGTGGGAACCGGTTGTTGGTTGTGTGAGTACAGTAAGTCCTGCTGGGCACACATTGTTGAAGTCACGAGTCACCGGAACCTTCTGGGGCATTCTGGATTGTTGTGGGAAATCACTAGAATATTCCCATTTGCCTGTGCTTGCATATGCGCACTTGCACAACAGTTTATTTTACGTATAATATCATTGTAATACATTTCGTGTATGTATAAATATGCACAGATGTGCATTGAGCAAAATCATCAGAAAAGTTTCTAGCTTACCTCTGGTCTTGCGAGTATAACCGCTGAAGTAAGTGGATTGCCTTATCAGGAATCCCTACATTACAACACACATTAATTGAGAAAGTCCTCAGGCTTGATGTCACGGCCCTGCAAAAGGTGCCCATCTGCGATCACTCTCCTACGTTGTAAGGGGGCAAGGGATCTACCACCCTAACGAGAAAGAGAGGGGGCCACAGAGTTGGGAGTGCTCAGGGGAGGTCCGGATGAAGAGGAAGGGGGGAGGAGAAATGGTCTGGGTGCGATGTGATAAAAATGAGAAAACTCGTAAATCTCACTAGAAATCAAACTGATGGGAACTCTGTCCCTGCACTATGTCTTGAGCCTCTTTGGCTTCGTATTTGCCGCTCTGGGCGCTGGTAATGTCTGCTAGAACTTCATGTTCTTGTTGGGGAGCACCTCTCTCTGTTGGGGGAGTCCTTTTTGTAAATACAGGGAAGAGGGTAACTATAAATATGAAAGAAATACGTGGAAATCTGAATGATCCGACGGGTTTAGGACGGCAACAGATCCACAAGGAACAAATAAGAAAAAAGCAATATCAAAGAAATATTGACGTTGTTAAGGAAATAAAGAAACATGGCAATCGCCTCAACCGCTGAACCAAATCCGTCGCTCGTAACATCGTTCGACTCATGTTAACAAGGGCTTTCCAACGATACCAAATTCGTCCGGATTGGTGGAGAATTGATGGAGATATGGAGGAAGCGGTGCGGGTGACAGTTGCCCAATTTGGAAACTGATGGTTGTCCATGGTCGGGAATGGCTTGAAAAAATCGGAAGAAATATGAAAAACGTGGAAGGAATATATGGAACAATGGTAGATGTGTTTCGGGAGTGGGGTGCTTGACGTGGGTGGTAGAATCGCGATAATCGGCTTGTTTGCATGGTACCGGCTGTGCCTGCCTACAACGTCCCCACCACCCATCCGCCCTGTCAGCTTTCTCTGTGAAAGGGATCTTACTTGTTTTGGGGACAGTACGTTCCGTTCCCCCGTTCACCTCAGGCCTCAGTTGGTCCGTCTAAGTATACGCTTTGATGGGCTGTATATTAATGGGGTAGAAGTAAAGGCTGATCTGCCTTTTACAGCTACCCTGAGGGTTTATATACATTCTAATGCATTCTCGGCACAAATAAATAGAGAAGCTTCCGCGACGCTAAATTAGTGTCGCGACATAATTATCAGACAACAAAACAAATTGATGTTGTGGGCGGAATATAGACATGGGCCGGGGCCTCACATCCTCCTCCCTTGTGATATTAAATCACAGACAGGGTACAAGCACAAATACACAAGGGGAAAACAAGCATTTTAAAGAAATAAAATTTTAATGTTCTACATACAAAAGATGTATGCAAATGGGGGCACACTCATTGCAGGAGGCTATAATAGTAGTTTGTAGGTGAAGCCCACTTAGAGTTTCTGCTGGAACATATGCACCCAGATCTCAACGACAGAGTTGTTGACAATGAAACGACTTTCTTGTCATTGTGAGTTCATTAAATACCATCATTGACAGTGATGATGTTGACAGTGGAGGTTGTCGATGAAGAGGAAAGTGAATAATCAATGATGTTGTCGTTGACGAAAGAGGAAAGGTACAACGCAGATAATCAATGACAGCATTGTCGTTGACGAAAGTAAGAAGTTAATAATCAATGACAGCCCTGTCGTTGACGAAGGTAGGGATATGAGGGGATCAGTTCCTCATCCGTTTATGGGGCGCGGACCCGGATGGGCCAGAGCCGGATGGGTGATTCAACGTGGTCCTACAAGTCATCATGGACCTTGCTGCATCGACAGCAACATCGTCGCTGAGATAGTTGTTGTTGTAGTGACAAGTCTTGACATTGTTAGAATGGGGCGGAAACGGACGACTCCGGAGTGGAATCGGAGACTTAGCGTGGAGGGACCTTGGCCTCAGCGACTCAAGCGGAGCGCTGTGCCATTGCTGTTTGTCCATTTGGTCCTTAATTTCACAGTAGGTGAGCAGGAAGTCTCTTGGGGGCATTTCAGGTCGATTTCGGACTGAAACCAAGACGAGTATGTACAAGCGCCGATATATATAATGGAAGGGGCAAAAGCACAAAGAGAACAAAGGGTGACCGAATCGGAACGAAGACGTCCGAACGGGAACAAAGGGTAGAGGGAGCGGAGCGGTACCGAAGGTCATAGGGCAAGACCTGTGATACGTCCGAAAGGAGGTAGAGAGGGCGAGGCCCAGAGGGGCAGGAGGATGAGGGGAAGTGGGGATGATGACTAACTGGCTAGAATAGAAGGAAGCAGTAGTCCAAATAGGGATGAAGGGAAAATGCGAGAAATACATTACAGGCGGCGAGAGCGCCGAAGGCGGTCCGCGAAGCTCGGGTGTTGCGGAGCTTATGGAGGTTACGGAGGCAGGGTTGGAAGTCCGAGGAATATTGGCAATGGTGTTTACGTAGTATGAGGTCACCAATGCAATGGACTAAGGCCGAGGTGGAGTCAAAGTCCGAGGTAGGGACTATGACGGAGGCTCGGAGTAAGGTATGAGCGGTGTCCGAGTGCGAAGTACGGAACAACGGTAGAAGGTCGTAACTTGGCGGAAGGGTGGTGGAGGAGTAACGGAGGGAGGAGAGAGTGGCGGAAAGGAGAGTAGTCAGGTCCGAAGGTGAGTATCGGAGCGGACGGGGGAAGCATAGGAGGTTAACAGGAGGGTGGAGGTGTTGTGAAGGGGGAGCGGAGTAGTAGGAGGAGGTGTGTTGCCAGGACCGAAGGTGAGTATCGGAACGGCAGCGGTAGGTTATGACTCCGGAGGTGAAGAGGGTGGAGGTCCGGAAGTCGGGTCGGGGTCGGGTATGCACGGATATGACAGACATCAGCGTCATTCATGGATGAATCCTCGTCTTGACGACGGTGCAAGTACTATAATATATCACGAGATTGGACACACCTAGAAATGGGACAAATGCCCATAACTGCCTCATATCTCCTCCTTCACCGACCATTCTTTGCCATTATGTGCAGAGGAATCACATGTATGTAACTGTCCAAAAAAATCCCGGAGTTTTATATGAGTGTTGTGGTGTTTGACATATAACTATCGGGCCATTGTCTCCGAAACCGTCATTCTGCTATGCTCCTGCCCCTGTAGCTCACGAGTCTACCTTACACCCTTCCGTAAAATGATTGGAGTCGATTCTAAAAGCTCTCAAGAAATCTTCTTCGCATTTTTGGAAAGTTCTATTGCTTGTCAGCGCTGTCAGGACCAGAATTACCAACAGTGAGTGACCCTGAAAATGCGATGTTATAAACCTTGCCAGATCCCCCCAAAATTTCCGTCCATTTCTTTCTCTGACACTATGGGACCTTCCTCTGACATTGAAGAGCGAATATCATGTGCCCTAGCTGATTTGCAGAGCAAGAAGATTCAGAGTCTATGGAAATCCGAACCCTGTCGCGGATGAAGAGGGAGTCGAGTATATGTATGGAAATACACCCGCGATTTCCCGGGACCTCCTCCACCAGTTGTGCATTGGAAAGGCAACAGCCAGATATCAAATGAGGAGCTAGAGGCAGCGGAGGTGCTGGCGCGGGGCTTCTGATAGCACTGTCCAACGATGTGGTGACGGAAATTCCCGGCACGTTTTTGAGCTCGCAACACAAAACTTTTCTTCAGCCACCACAACTCAAAGAATATCTCCAGTATTTTTCCAGTAGATACAGGTGATACAGAGCTCTCGCTCAAAAAAATAACGACTCGATTCTGAGGTCTGTAGCCGGAAATATAATAAAAATTTGCTTATGTGTCCCACTTCTGGGTTAGCAACAGTAATGGGTATGGTGCACGGGATGGCCATGTCCAGGGGAAGTGGAGGGAGCACACTGTCAGGGCACACCCGCCTGACCCGGGTCCACCTGGACCCACCCGGCCACACCACACCCGCTCCCTGCTGTCTATCCCCCTCCCCCCTCCTTCCTCCCTCTTCTTTCCCCTTTCTTTATTTCATTCTTCTCATCTTCCTCTTCCTGTTTATTTCTTTCTATCTACACGGACCACCTTCCTTTGTATCGATGTACTATTGACCCGTCTGGCCCACACACCCCAGACGGCTTCCCACTGTGCCCAGCACACGTGCATGCAGCGGACGCTCTCGGGATCCCCCACAGGGACACCCGGATGCCTGCGGCTGCCTCCGAGGATGATGTGGCACCCATCATGTGACTCAAGCCGCATGTACATAAATGTACCTGAAGTGGGAACCGAAGAAGTAACCTTCTTCTCACATTCTCCACTTCAGTCTGAGTGGCCAGGGACCACCGTCCCGGATCGGGCCCGCCAGTATGCATGCCCACTCCA